GCTGCGGGTGTTTAACAGCCGGGCAGAGGCGGTGCTGAGGGACGGGGTTTGGGGGTGGGATGGCAGGGGTAGGGGAACGGTTGGGCTGGGGGAGCTGAACGGGCTTTTCCAGCCAAAATGAATCCATGATTCTATGCTATGAATATTTAAATACTCCCATCTCGTTGAATTGCAGGCTCATTTACATACATCGGCACACTGGTTAATATAGCGCATACAGGGAAAAGGGCGCACAGCGCATTTTTAATCTCTCTTGAAGAGGAATTGATTTTACGAGTGCTGAAAAGCGCTGCTTTTTTTTCTCTTCAGGAAAATCGCTTGTTTGGGGGCGGGGGTGTGTGTGTGATTTTATTTAATTGTTTGACAGGAATAGCCACCAAAACAAAACCACTGACTCCCATCCGTGTCCTTTGTTCCAGAGCTCGCTCTTGCCAACGAGAACTCTTGGTAGGCGACCAAAGGGACACTGCAGCTTTCTCCTCCGCGCTCCCTTCGCCGGCTGGGCTGCTCTAATCACCCGCAGCATCGGGTCGGAGGAAGGCATACACCTGACCCCGCGGTTTCCGGTACATCGGATTTGCTACGGAAAGGTTCCTTGCAAAGAACATATCTGCCACAAACCAGCTCATTCCAGCTGCTCCAAGAACTTAAATGGCCGCAAGCGCAAGAAAAAAGCGAGCCAGGACGGTATTTTGGTTCCCACGCTGCACAAGTGACTCCGGTTGCTCGCAAACTTCCCCGCGTCCGGGCTGAAGCGCGTGCTTTTTAAATTCTGCAGGGGAGTTTAAGGCAGGTTTGTTTGGCGCCGCGATGGATCTGGCCTCCACCTCGCTTCTCCCCTTAAAGCTGGAATCGGGCGCCAAGGTTTCCATAGGATTTTTCAGGCCACGTTGGGTGAAATCTGGCCCTGGCAGAGCCAAGCGCAGAACCCCCTTGATTTCAGGGGTGGGAGAAGGAAGGGGAGCGTTTTCCCCGAGGCGAAAGATACCATCCAGTAATTAACAACTGCTTATTCATTATTTTAATGTAATTAATTATAGCCCTACACCCATAGGGTGCTCTCTGCCTCCAAGTACCTCTCGCTGCTGATTACTCACACGAGTGAAGTTTCGCAGCCGTGGCTTGCGACGCCACCGCTATCAGCTGAATTTTTACCGCTCCTTTAATTTCCCGACCGCTTAATTTCTTGCTACTCGACGTAGCAAACGACAGGGATGTTATCCCAGCCAGCTCATCAGGGTTAAACAACCTCACATTCTGTCGATAAGGACTTGCCGTGCGGGCCCTTCGCTCCCCCCCCCCAAAAAAAAAAAAACCACCCCCGCCGACTCAGCTTTTATCGGTTTTGCGCGTTCTCGGCGCGGCGCTGCCGGGCTCTTGGCGGTCCCCTTTGCGCCTTTCAGAAGCGTCCAGCGTGGGAAGCAAAGGCCGCTGGCACGCAGCCAGGCGGCCAGAAACTGCCGCGACTTTTCCAGGTTTCCATTTCAGGGCTGCACACGCGGTGCAAAGACGACCCACGAGCCGATTCTGCAAAGCTTTTGACGTTCACTGGAGGGCTTTTTTTTTTTTTTCCTTTTTTTTTTCCCCTCTCTGAGTCCCAAGAGGCCCTTAAAGGAGGCAAGCAGCAATAAAAATACAAATAAAAACAATCCTGAGGGATCTGAAGGCAGGTGCCTTCCGAAGAGCCCGGCTCCACGCCTTCCCCTTGCCTTTCCCACCTCACAGAGCGTTTCCGCTCCTCCCTTACGAGGAAGTTTTCTGTGTAATGATAAGAGGGGAGTGGGAAAAGGCGTATTTGTTAAAATACATCAGGGGCTGAAGCCAGCAGCTGCTGAACAGGCTTAACCCTGAGCTGTCCCAGCGAGCGCCGGGGCTGTGCGGGGTTGGGTTTGTGGAGATACCAGGGCTCAGGCCCTCAGAAATCACCGTCCTGTCCCTCCCCAGCGGTGCTCGCCCCTTCACCGCACTCAGTGGCGCCCCACCTCACCCCACATTTCCCCAGGCAGATTTCAAGCCATCTTCTCTCCCACTTTAAAGGGTAAATATATATTTTTTTCCTCCCCCCCACAGTTCCTGTACAGTTGCAAGGTGAAGAACATTTTCTAGGCTTGAATTATTGATGAAGCCCTCCCAGGCACTGCCAGCCAGCGTGCATATTCATCAGGCAGCCAGTACATTATTCATGAGAGGTTCACTTAAATAGGGATGAGAACAATGATATTGTGAAAATTAGCTTGAAAAAAAAAAGAGTTGCACTGGTCTAACTCCAGCCAAAAGGCAGCCAGAAAGTTCATCAAAATCACACACACACAAGGGGGAGTTTTACACTTTAAGGGGGATCTTTATTGTGGCCCTTTCATTGCCATCCACCTCCATTATTTTTTTAAATAAGACTTTATAGAATCACAGAATTGTTTGGGTTGGAGAAGCCCGTTCAGCTCCCCCAGCCCAACCGTTCCCCTACCCCTGCCATCCCACCCCCAAACCCCGGCCCTCAGCAC